GTATTCCATTGTGTGAATGTACCATAATTTCTCAATCCATTCATTTATGGTTCGAAATTTTGGCTGTTTCTCTGTTCTTGTTATGGTGAATAATGCTGCAATGAACATTGGTTTACAAGTCTCCATTTGTACCTCAGTTCTCTTTTTCTTGAGGTATATTCTGAATAGTGGAATAGATGAGTCTTATGGAATTTCTATATTCAGCTGTTTGAGGAAGCACCAGATGGCCTTCCAGAACGATTGTACCATTTTACAATCTCACCAATAATATATAAGAGATCATTTCTTGCCACATCTTCTCCAATATTTATTACTTGCTGCCCTGTTAAACTTTGCCACTATATATTCTTGATATCCTCCCAAAGCTCATTTAGTCTTTGTTCATTATTGTTCAAGGTCTCATGTCTGTTGCTGAGATATTTTTAAGTTCAGATGGGATAGTCAAGGTCAAATTTTTGTTCTTGTGGGTTGAGTTCGTTTTGTTTAGCTTTTGTTTGAGCCTGCGTATGAGTAAATTGATGGTCTGTTCCACAATCAGAGTCTGGCCTTGTTTTCACAGTTGATATTGAGCTTCTCCAATGATTCTTTCCACAGATGTAGTTGATCGGATTCCTTCGTGTACCATCAGGTGACGTCCATGTCTATAGTCATCATTTATGTTTCTTATAAAAAGATATTTGAAGTGAATATATCATTGACTGTACAAAATTCTATCATCCTATCTCCAGTCTCATTTCTGTTACCAAGTCCACATTTTGCATTCCAGTCACGTATAATTATTAACATGTTTGGTTGCATGTTGCATCGATTCTGACTGCAAAAGTTGGTGGAAAGAGTCTGTTTCCTCCCCTTCGGCTCTGGTTGTTAGTGAATATAATAAAATGATAGTGGTATGAACCAGACTTTCTTGCATGAGTATGGATCAGATCTGACGGTGAAACAATAGGATGCCGCACTGTTAACCCAAAGGCACCACCTCTTGAAAATTTTAATCCACCATCCGCTCCCGCAAAAAAGATGGTCAATCTTCTTTGTGCCATTAATATATCCTGAAAACTTAACTGACACTAAGTTGTGAGATAGTTCTAATTTCATTGCAAGGGGAGAAAGAGAGATTGTTTGACTCAAAAGTGATTTTCAGAAACCATCACTACGAAGTGTGTTAATATAGGTAATTTCTTTAACACATCTGAGCATCAGTTTCACCATTTATAAGTGATAAAATTTACCCTTGACTCAGTAATATAGGGACAATAAATAAAGTTAGAAATACTTTTACTTTACTAAGATTAACATTCAGCATTCATGGAAATTGAAGGTCCTATTTTAGAAACCTGAAAAATGAAGACCTTCAAGGAGACGGATTGACTCAGTGGCTGTGATGATAAGTTCAAACATATCAATGATTTTGGGGATATCACAGGGCTGAGCATTCCTTCATTCTGTTGTACAAAATGTCACTGTAAGTTAGCACTGAATCAGTGATACCTAACAACAATAACATTTCATTCGATAAATGTGCTTGAAAAGAGTTCATTAGAGTTTTAAAAAGTAGAGATGACATTTTAATCACTAAGGTAAATCTGACTCAAGACATTGTTGTCTTATTCACCTTATATACATACATGTGAAAGAAAAATAGTGATAATTGAAGACAGAAGTAGTGTTCTGTTCAAAATGTGGTGGTGGTTGTTGTTGTTCTGTGCCATTGAGTCATTTGTGACTCATAATGACCCTATGAACAACAGCCCTAAACCCAGCCACTGAATCAATCCACCTCATAGAGGGCCTTTCCCTCCTGCGCTGTCCCTCCACCCTACCAAGCATGAGGTCCCTTTCCAAGAACCGGTCCCACAACATGTCCAAAGTATGTTAGACGGAGCCTCAGAATCCTTGCCTCCAAGGAGCCACCCGGTTTGACCCTTTCCAGGATGAATCTGATTGTTTTCCTAGAAATCCATGGTATTCTCAATACTCTTCTCCAGCACCACAGCTCAAAGGCATCAATTCTCCTTGTATCCTCCTTAGTTATTGTCCAACTCTCTGATGCATAACAAGTGATAGCAAAGACCATGGCCTGTGTCAGATGCACCATAGTCTCCAGAGAGGCACCATTGCTCTTCAGTACTTTGTATAAAATGTGGTAGTAATGAAAAATTCAGAATAGAGAGAGATGGAAGAAAACTTTCAAAATAAAATATATGATGAAATACATCCATAATGTGACTTAAATATAGAGATAATAGATTTTAACTCACTTTTTCTGGGTATGTCAATAAGAAAGGGCCATTACTAGAACATAAAAACATAGTTGGTAATGTAAAGTGATGGTACTGGTGGCCTAGAGAGTAACAAATTGTGCTTCCAGTCCAAACTAAGGTAATTCAAAGCCCCTAGTCACTCTATGGGAGAAAGACGAGCAATTCCTTATCATGCAGTTTACATTCTCCAGAAACTCTATAGAGGTTCAGGTAAGGTCAGTTCTAACTTGATGCCAGTGAAAGAGGGAATGTATGGTGACAACAAAAAGAAAACAGTCAGTGAAATATATTAACACAAACCATAACAATAGACTCAAAGCTATCAATAATTATGAAGGTAAGGCAAGATATAGTAGCTTTTTATTCTGTTAGACAATTAGTTGCCATGAGTCAAAGGCAACTCAGTGGCAATTATAAACATTAACTCAAAGGATTATGATAAAAACACATACAATATTATGCAGTAGCCTATAACTTAGTGTATCAGTGACTGGTATAATGGGGTAAATGTGTCAGAGACAAAAAGACTGGTACAGGGGTTAGGGCTTTTGTACATAGGGCTACTATGAGTTACAGGCAACATGACAACAACAACATGGCACATGAGTTACTTAACAAGAGAAGATATTGTCATAGGTAGTAGGCAATCAACATTAATTAGTAGTTATAGGAATAGTAGTGAAACACTTAAAACATGACATGAAGCTTTATGTTAATATGAAAAGATATCCAACAGCTAATAATTGAGATTAAAAAGTTCATTATCAAATTATACAAAGGAATATAGCATGAATTCATATGTAGCATGTTAATAGGTGAGTTGCCTCATAAATAACTGATAAATGAAGAAACAATGCTAACATAATTTTTTTCTAGTGAAGTATTATTTTGAAACATTCACAGGTAAGCTTTCCAAGAGCCAGCCTCACCAATCCATAAGGACACCAAGAAAAGAATAAAAAATAACTAGCAACTTGTATTTAAAAAAAAAAAAGATGGGTGGAATGTGATTCTATTTGCAAATGACAGTGCACATAACCAATGTGTATATATTGTTATTGTTAATTATTATTATTATTATTTATACTTTTGTTAGGATTCTAGATGTGAAGATGTAAATTGTCAGAACAGTTTCCTCCTCTGCAATCACTTTTCTTTTTAGTACACAGTTTTATATAAATGCAGGGTTTTTGTAGGAGAACCTATGGTATTGTTGTCGGAAACACCTGCATTTAAAAACAAACAAACAAAAATCGCCCAACCTGATAACATAATATCATAGGAAAGTAGAGAAAGATTGAAAAGAAATAGATGAGTGAGAAATTGATCATTTTCTCTTCCTATTTCTGTGAATGCTCAAATTGTTGCTATATGCATATATTTTAATAGTTAAAAACGAACTATTAATTAATCATTATCTCCTTCCATTCAATTAACTGCTTCTGAAAACCACAGGAGGGTCAACTATAGGTGGGTTCAACTTGACAGCCAACAAATATAATAGTTCATTCATTATTAACTATTAAAAACATTAACAGTTTACATAGATAAAATGTCATATCAAATATCATTTACAGCCATTACTTTACTTATCTATGACATTTATTTAATTCTTGAGTCAAACTTTGGAGTTTGCTTCAATGTTTATTGAACTTCTAAATCTACTTCTATCTTGTATAGATTTTAGAAATTTTGAGAATAAAAACATGCTAAAATAAGAGTTAACAAAGCTTAGTGGTTTCACTTAGTATAAACCGATAATATTTTTTTTTATTTAACTTTGAGTTAAGACAGATTATGTGTCAGTTTTGCTTTGAATATTCCTACCCCCCCAAAATAAAAGTAAAAGATTTGAAAGACTACTGTCAGGATGATGATAGGCTAGCATTAGGAAGTTCTTGATTATTCTAACATATGGTATAACTCTAAAAACATCCTGAATTTCCAGCCTACTAAACTGGTCAAATTAACATTTGTTTGGTCCTCAGATCCTGTTATAACTTCTCTATAGTCATATAGAGTACCTTAAGCTGTATGTTTACCAGGTGTAAAAATAGATCTTTCCTTTTATTAGTGTTTATTTTCTTTCTCAGTCATATGTAAACTAAACCCCAAGTTGTAAGTTAACTAAAAACCATATGTAAGAATACTAAAGTTGCATTTTTTTCTCTTGATATGTGAACTGTACCTTAAGCTAGCTATTTACCACAAGGGGAAATCCATCTTTCCTAAATTAGTATATACTTTTTGAAACTGTTTTTCTCAGTCACATGTAAACTATACGACAAGTTTATTAGTAACTGTATGTAGACTGTTCTTTTGAATGTAACTTTGAACTAGCAATAGTAATATTAAGAAGATTAACACCTAACCCAATAATCCAAACCAGTAACTATCCTTAGACAGGAGAAGCAGTTTTTGAAGGGATTCTTTCTACTCTTCCAGATCTGCGATAAAGTACTTTGGATACTAAAAATCCAAAATAAAACCAAAAACCAATAAAACAAATGAAACCTAAAAGAAACAAGTAGACCAACACAGCATTATAAATGCATGCAACATTCTCCCAGACTTTTAATTTTAACCTACACCTACTCTCTCAAATATAATTTTTTACAAATTATTTTTTCAAAGACTTGAGCTTTTGTCTTTTTTTCCTTTGCTTTAAGTAGTAAAATTTGCTTATGGACAAAAAAAAAAAAGAATCCAGCCCAAAGAGATGCTAAATTATGTACTTACACATACAGTACAGTCCTTGTGTCACCTACTTTCCCAGCATCACCTACTGTAAGGGTGTCATAGCCTCTCTCCAATTCAAACTCTTCAAAGGCAAGTTTGATGACCTAAATGAAAGGCATAAAATATTTAAAATAACAGAAACTTTTGTTGACTGTAAATATCACAGATATTCTTTTCTACTATTAACTTCTGCTACTGAATTCTAGTATAATTCATATATTCATCAAGAGTGTATCCGATTCTTTACACAGCCATATAAATAATTTTGCACATAACAACTTTCATTTACTGAATGTTATATAATTTAAAACTGTTATTACTCATTACAAGACATTCACTATCAGTTATTAAATGATAGCCAACATCTACGGTACCTTAAGTCAAACATCTATAAAATATTTTTTAACATGTATAGTTTAGAATTATTTAGAGATAAATTATTTTAAGCCAAAAAATGCTGACTAGAGTTAATAAGAAATATTCTGAGGGCATCTAGCAAGTAGAACATACTACAATAAATATACATATTCCAAGTAACATCCACATTAACATATAAAAAGACCTTCTGCTGAAGTAGGGCTTTATTCCCTACATTTATCTTTGTAAAACCTAGACATTTTATTATAGAGAACATTTTACTGTCATGATTGATATCATGACACCTAAAGTAGGCTGGTTTACATATGTCACACAAATACAACAATATTCAATGAACTGTAAAAGCTTGCATACAGTTGAATAGTCAAATACAGAGAAGTTTGCTGAGAAGAGAGTATAAAATATCTGTGTTCACTTCACTTGGCTCCTCAGACTTAATTTGATGCATTCATCTAAAGTTTTTGGAAGGTAGATATTGTTAAAACTTAAGAAGATTTAAGCAATCTGAAAGATAGCTCCTTTAACAGATTTACTTTTGGAAATGGGAGGGCTTCAAGAAAATAAGTCACATTAAATACATAATACTTTTCATGGGGTGACATATTTCAGCTAATTTTCCCTGTTTAAACATTTTTCAGTCTTATGTTTTTAATGGATTAATTCTTTAAACAACACATAAAAACCAAACTCACTGCTAACCAACTCTGACTCGTAATGACCCAAATAGGACAGAATAGAACTGTACCATAGTGCTTCTGAGGAAGCCCTTGTACATAGGGTATAATGTATCAGGATGTTAACCAACTGATCTGCGGTTCAAATCGGTCAGCAACTCAGCTATAAAGATTAACAACCTTGAATATTCAATGGAAGATTTCTGTAAATTGGAACAGACTGAATGATACATTATAGTGTTCCCTAGACTTTATAATTTTACTGTAGCTGGCAGGCTAATTTTCCTACTGAAAAACATCCAGTGGTTCAAACCTATGACTTTTTGGTTGGCAGCTCAGTGCTTCATCTACAGGGCTCCAAATTGTATTACTTTTCCTCTTCTAATCATATGCTTATATTCTCAAGTAAGAGATTATTAATTTATGGAAAAAGTTTTACTTAGTAAGTTTGAAGACTAAGGTGTATGTCTAAAGATAGGAAAACAGGACATGGGATAACAGGACATGGGACCACAGGGCTATGAGCATCTCTTTGAAAGGACCAGAGGGAGTTAAAAACAGCACAGTCCTTCACTGCCCAAGAGTAGAAAGTAGATAAAGACCTCATAGCCCAGTCCCATGGTGTATCTAGAGTCACACCATAGTAAGAAGTTAATTTGTTGCTGACTTACACACACTCAGGTAAGTTATTGAAAAGGGAGTTTATTAGCAAAGTAAATTGGAGATTGAAGGAGGCAAAGAATATCTCATAATACAAGTCCAAGTTTATCCCAAAAGTTAAGGCACGATTCCTCACAATTAGTCCAGCAGTCAAATTAGTCAGTTTAGCAGTGAAATCTAAATCATCCAGCAAGGTTTTCCTCAGAGCAGTTATATTTCAGCTTCTTCAAATGTCTCGTAAGAAGAGGAAAATCTTTTAACTCTGGCCATCACAAATGCAAGAAGGCTCAGGTCACACTTTGCCACAGTTTCTCCATAGAAATGCCACAGTTTCTCCAACACTTTTACCAGAATCTCACCAAGTTCTACTCTAGTCTCCCTCAAGTCTTGCGGCCCAGTGTGGGAAACATTCTTTTATCCTAGTCCCACAACAGTTGATGATTTGCAAGACTATACTGATTTACAAGATCATGTGTCAGCAGTTATGATAGCTTCAGACCAGAGAGGCCTAATATTAAAAAGAAAAGCCAGATTTTAGGCCAACACCACAGTGTGCCTAATTCAGGTCATAGTATTTTCAATAACTTTCTATGAATCTACAAGCTAGACAATAAATAAAAATGACAGAAGAATTGTTGACTTGGACATGATATAATGTTGGAGAAAAATACTGCATATCCCTTTGCACTGCTTAAAGCACAAACAGATACCTCTTGGGAAAAAATACAGTAAGAATGTTGGGGGAAAAATTTTTAAAAAAACATTGCCTTAGATACTTTTAGCATATCTAGGAGAGAATTTCTTGAAGAGGGTATTCTTCTCCAAGCTACCATGTTTGGAAAAGTAGAGCATCAGTGAAAGAGAAGAACAGTCTCAGTGTGATGCTTTGACTCAGTGGCCATAGCAATGGGCTTAAGTGTGTAAAAGATTGTGAGGATGACATAGACTAAGACAATGTTTGGATTTGTTGTCCATAAAGTTGCTATGAGTTGTACTCAACTTGGCAGCACTTAACAACAAAAACAACCCATATGAACCTGACAATGACTTCTGTTAACACTATGGAAGACTTAATAAGAAATCACATAGAAAAATATGTCTTGCTTTCACATTCCAGGAAAATTCAAGGCACAGAGAAAAGATAGACTAACCTACAAAACAAAACAAAACACATGGCACATGATAAAGGACTTAGACATGCTCTAAATATGAAAGAAAAAGAGAACAGTAGGGCAATTTAAAAAAAAATGGGCACTTATAAAGGAGAATTTACTAATCTGTTCATGTTAAGAAAATGGAACAGAGGAGACCCTTGTAAATATTTACGCTAATAAAGTAGAAAAATCTATCAGGGTGGTAGCACTTATAATTATATTAGAAACTATTAATGAAATAGCTGTCTAATTGCAAAAGACTGCACCAGATTAAAAGTTATGTATACAGGAAATAGCAGTGGTGGTAGTAGCTGATAAACATATGAATGTCGGCATATGAGTGTATATGTGTGAGGAGATGTGATCCTGAATATTTTTTAGGGGAAAAAATAGTGGCATTAAAGTGATTGTATTAAATACTTCACAGAAATTATCAGAAAATAAAAAAAGAAACTTATGCCAAAAATAAGGGTCTTTTCAAATGAAGAGGGAAAAAATAGATTAGAACAGTAGCCATGAACACAGAATAAAAGAATTTTCTATTGTTCAGAAAGAAGAAATATTTTATTGAGTAAGGAGGATGAAAGAAGGAAAGGAATCAATGATGTGTTGAAGTTAGGTTACCTAAGAAAAGAAATAAAAGGCGATGAGAATGCTTGGTAGTGGAAGAAGGAAAAGGAGAAAGCAAGATGGGAACATATTTTAATAGGATATACTTTATACTTCTCAGGAGGTATAAGTCCATTGAAAAGGACAGACTTTTTTAGAGGTCTGTTGAAAAGGAGGAAGATTTTGAACATACAGGTCAATATAGTGCCTGCTACAATCACTCAAACAGCAAAAATCGTGAGGAAATTAGAGGGTTATTAGATAGTGCTTTTTTGTACACCAAGCTAGCAGAACTAGAATAAACTCAGAACACCTCACAGTAAATCTGGTACTTTTGGAACTTTTTAAAAAAGTATAAAATGCCTATTTGTTAAACTTGAAAGAAAGGAATAAGTGATGCCCGGAGGAATACAGCCTTTTCCGATTTGGTTTGTATTAATTCTAAATGGACTACAAACAGGTGTTCTTCCAAGCAATGCTAATATGGAATACATTAATCTTGTTTTTTTAGTTCTTACTAAAATTAGTGATACAGCTATTATAATTTATTAAAAATAAAAGTATTTCAATGTGCAGTGTTTGTATGAATATATTAATTTAGCAATCAGTTTAAAACAGGTGTAAGATTTTATAGCTAGTGAAAACCAATATGAATACCTCATAATAAGCCTTACACCTGGTTATGGTTTTGCTTTAGTGTTTTGTTTCTGTTGGGTTTTTTCCCCCCTTCCTCACAGTTCAGTTTATAAGTGACCATGATCCAATAATTAAAGAATAAAACAATTGAATAAAAGTCATAAAAAAAAGTCATCGAAACCTGGCAGTTTCCTATCACCTTTTTGATATATTTACTCTGTATTGACTTGTTTAACAGCAGAGTAGTCTTCAAAACATTGATAATCCATTAGGGTATAAAGGTCATGCTATTTTATTTTTAATGAGCCACAGACAGGGGTCACACCACATAAATGGACTTTCACTAGAGGTGTAAAAAAAAACAAATACTGTTTTGCATTTCAAGTCAGGAAAAAGGTTGATAGAATTTTTTTTTTTGGTCAGTGTTTAGGTTCAACCAACAGCAGGAACTATTATCTATTGGAAATCTTTATACTAGCAATGTTCAGTAAGAAAACAAAAAGGGGAGTATCAGTAATAGGGAAACAACTTCTAGTTTGTTAGATGATATGTTCCTTCAACATATCTGATAGTAAAATAAAAATATTAAGTAAATTTATAATTTTTTTCAATCAGAAATTATTAGATCCTTGTGAAGCCAACAAGAGAACAAATCTTTAAGTTTGTGAATGATTCAGGTGGTGTTGTTGATTGCCTTCAAGTTGAACAGGACTCATAGCGACCCTATGGAAAAAAGGCCTGAAGACTTTATGTTGTGGTGGTATTTGAGTATTTTATAAATTCTAGATATAAGTCATTTATCAGAGATATAATTACCAAATATTTTTTTCTCAGTCTGTGGTTTTCCTTTTTACCCTGCTGGAAGTTTTTGGGTGTGCATAGAGATTTGATTCTTAGAAAGTCCCATTCATCTTTTTTATCCTTTCCTGAAGAGATGCAAATCAAAACAACTATAAGATAGCATCTCATGCCAGTAAGAAGGGCAAAAGTAAG